GTTCAGCAAAGTCATACCAGTCTGGTGTGTGAGACAACGCCAGACTCAAATGTCTTTAAATCCATTAGGACTACTCTGCTTATCTTATCAAAGCAGGCAAAAGGAGCAAACTCAGTGTAAGAGATAATGAAAAAGGTAAGGAGAAAGACAAAGACATACCAGGAACAACAAAACAAGGGATGACCACCCATGGATTCATTTGGGAGTCTTACTTAATTACTTCCTTAATCGATCGTGCTCGTTGCTGCTTGGTCAGTAAAGACGGCTGGTACGTGGCCATTTATTGACCAGAATGTTGATTGTGCATTTGCTTTGCTGTACACAACGAAACCGTATGGCTTGAAAGAGAAGCTGGGGAAAAGACACGGCCCCATGTAAACTCCATAATGCAGTGGATTTGAAGAGTTGCTTACTTGAGGGTCTTACAATTTCTATGAAATACTGCAAAAGTGTTACAAAATAATATCTACCACCAATTACTTCCAGACTGATCATAGTTAACACCCACCAAGTGTTCTACCATCAAGACGCTATAGGTGACACTATCAAGACCTGTCAAAAAGGGGCAAACACCAGCAATATACACTAGCTGGCTAAACAAGCAACAAGTGGCAACTATCAGTTGTATCAATAGTTTTTGTATATGTATCATTGATCATTAAAACATTGATCAGCACGAATTTCAAACAACACGCAAGTTTAACTGTGGTAAATTTAGTAGAGGAAATAGTATTATACAACCTAAATACAGATGCAGTCCTCATTAAAAGTGTTTAAAAACTTTTCATTTAAAAAATGTCTGTATTCATGTTTCAACATTGCCCTTCAGTCTCTCTGAAAAGCTATAAAAACACACTTTACAACTCTTTGCAGCCTTGGATACACCAATCCAAACACCTTTATATCTCTATGCTCTCTCCAAAATCTTCAATATCAAGTCTTTGAAAGAGCATTTATTCTTGGCCTTGCCATCTTATGCACTGACACTTCTGACCGTTGAAAAATTATATGCCATTGCACTGCATCATCATCCACTTTGAGTCAGCTTTTTGCAAAACTGCCTCAGTCATCTCATACTGAATAATCTGAGCAACCTGCCAAAGACTGAATTTCATTTAGGTTTCTTTTCTTCTTCTTCTTTATCTTATTTGCTTTTACAGACGCGGTCTATTCCTTCTCCTCTCCTTTTACTCACCTTTGTCATCCATCTTTGTAATTCAATTTTTAACGTCTCGCTACATTTTTCTTTTTCACCGTCTCCTTTCTTCATCCTTCGCTACACGCTCTAAATCAGTCTTTAAGTCGTGACACTGCACAATATTGCCAGTGATTTGCCTGGCAGATGCCTTTATCCAAGGCCTCTGTTTCCACAATCACATTAGCCATTAGTACAGCTGGGGAGGCACTGGAGCGAATCAGGTTAAGTAGCTGCTCAAGGGTACAAACAGTAGAGGCCCACCTGGAGTTCAGGCCTGCCTGACTCACTTAAAAGTACACATACTCACACACTTGTGCATTTACATGCTTAGATATGCACACTCATGCACGCAGATGTTTGCTAATTCATATCAGACTGCCTGGGTGAGAAAGTAGTTAAAAAAAATGGACAGTACTAGAAAGACCGAAAGAGTGGACTGAATGGAACGTAGCTGCCGAGGTGGCACTGTCAGTTCAGTTTAATACACTTATGTAACCCTGAACATGATAGAGTGAAGAAGAGAAAGAAAAACCCTTTTGTCTATAGCATTTCAGCTGCACTGAATAACTATCTTATTTTCTTCTAAAAAGCATCCTTCAAAGGCCAACACAAAGTTCAGCACCATGGAAAACAGAGGACGCTTCAGGACCACGGACAGCTCTTTAAACAAGCTCAGAGCAGATGAACTGGTTGAATCCTGCATTAAGACACATTTGCTGTCTTGTTGCCTGTTCAGGCTGCACAATTCACAAATTGAGAACTCAACATACAGTTTTCCAAAAACCTGGAAATGCATTAGATAAAAGTGAAATTTTGGACATCCACATATATCCTTCTTAAAGAGATAATTCACCCAAAAATGAATATTTGTGATTAAAACGAGGGTGAGTAAATGATGACAGAATTTTTGGGTCAACTAATCATTTGGCATAAATGCATTAAAATAACTGACACTGAAGACCAGTGATAATTATTTATTTTTGATTACACCTATAGTTTGATTACAACAATAAAGGAATTGTTCACCAAAAAATTAAAATTTGCTTAAAATGTACTCACCCTCAGGCACAAGATGTAGATGAGTTTGTTTCTTCATTGGAACAAATTTGGAGAAATTTAGCATTACATCACTTGGTCACCAGTGGATCCTCTGCAGTGAATGGGTGCCATCAGAATGACAGTCCAAACAAACAAACTAAACTAGCAAATAACTGTTGCCCCTAGCTAACATATGAATTCTCTATATCCATAATATTGCTTTATCTAGCGAAAAAGTAGTCTCGTCTTGACTTTTTTTTACTGGAGGAAGCATTATTATGCTTGTATTTTGCCCAGAATTTTGCCCAGAAACAACAGTTAACATTTAATGATGGATTTGTTTCATACAAACACACATCTTTTCGCTTCACAAGACATTAATTGATGGACATGAGTTTTGCTGACTAGTTATGGGTTATTGTGATGTTTTAATCAGCTGCTTGGATTCTAATTCTGACGGAACCCATTCACTGCAGAGGATCCATTGGTGAGCAAGTGATGTAATGCTACAGTACATTTATCCATTTTTTTTTTAAATTATTGGGTCAGCCACCTTTAGAGTTTCCCTGATTGATTGACAGAACAATGGACCAATCAGAACAGAGTTTAAAAATGACTTCTAAAAAGCTTCAGTATATTTCTATGTTCTGAACTCATTTGGTTTCCATTTTTCTATATTTTAATCAAAAGTTTTCATAATTTTTCTTTGCCCCTTATCAAAAAGTCACCATGAATTAAAAAATTACCTATAGTATTTCCTAACTTTTGGTGGGTATAGTATTTGCCATAATAAGAAATTAATATTCTAAATATTTTTTCTTTTTTGAAAATATTTATTTTCATTCTTTTCAGAATTCTTTTCATATTTAACCTACTGTCAAGAAAATGTAAGTAAGAAGGTGATGTCCTCTGCATTATGTGCACAAACATAAACAGTTCTTAAAGGGGTCATATGATGCGATTTAAATGTTTCCTTTCTCTTTGGAGTGTTACAAGCTCTTGGTGCATAAAGAAGATCTGTAAAGTTGCAAAAGACTAAAGTCTCAAATCCAAATAAATAAAGGATCATGTGACACTGAAGACTGGAGTAATGATGCTAAAAATTGAGCTTTGCAGTAACAGGAATTCATTATATTTTAAAATATATTTAAATAGAAAACAGATATTTTAAATTGTAATAATATTTCACATTGATGTACTTTTTACGGCATTTTTGTTCAAATCAGTGCATTACAATAGTCCAGTCTAGAGGTCATGAATGCATGAACTAGCTTTTCTGCATCAGAAACAGGTAACATGTTTCGTAACTTGGCAATGTTTCTAAGATGGAAGAATGCTGTTTTTGTAACATGGGAAATATGTGCATAAATGAATGCAGCCTAAGTGAGCATAAAGAGTTAATTATTCCATAAAAACTTACTTATTCCAATTTTTTTGACAAGTAGTGTAGGTGCATCCCAATTTGCACACTTATGCACTATTTTATGCCATTTTGTAGTATAAATAGCATGAGTTCACATTGAAAATCCCAACAAGAAGTGTACTTCAAATACTTAAATGATGCACTGTTATTTACCAGAAAAAATTGTAATGTTGGACACTTCATGCACTTAACGGTCACATTTAATAATGTAGCGGAGGTGGACGGGCTCCAATGCTGGATAGCAAACTACCAGCCTAAATGCCATACACTAGATTACATAGAGTACAGTAGAGTACATACAGTAGTGCACACTTCAATATGGTAAACAAGCATTTTTGTTTGAAGGTACCTCATAAGGAAACAGAAGGGCTTTTCATATTTTGAATATTTTACCCTGGTAATTTTAAACCAGTAAATCCTGTGTTATCTTGTTTCACATTGCATACTGTCCATACTTAACCCAGGGTTAACAATTAATCCTGGGTATTCATAATCTGATGCTTCACATTGTATATTTTATTTTTGGCATCAAAAACCATGATTGAATAAATACAGTGCGCAAAGTACAGTGTGACTTCCAAGTCACTGTACTGTAACATCATGTCTAATGATCCAACAACAAATTGAAATGATATTTAGAAAGAACCAAGAAAATATTTTATGTATACAATACCCATTTTGCAGTAGAAACGGAATCAAATTTATATATAATCAAATTTTCTTCTTGCAGTCACCTCAACAGATCAGTTATGGAAATTTTATATGATATCATAGGCAATAAAGGTACAATCTGTTTTCAAAAACCAACCAGGGGTGCGTTTCCCAAAAGCAACTATGGTCACAAGTTCCGTCGTTACCAATAGAGCTCAATTGAACTTGCGACCATATAGCCAACGATGGTTTTGGGAAACACACCCCAGGTTAAGGTATCTTTCAAACATTGGATCTGAATGCACATCCATGCCTTTGTGTAAAATCATACAAATAATGACTTGATTACACCTCTTCTATGATGAATACAGCGGCCACAGAACATGTGTCCATGAATATAATAGGATTGGAGGAAACTGATCTATTCAGAGACTTTGAATAATCTGTATCAAATCCGACAACAACATTTCGGTGGTGTAACTGTCCAGAGATTACAAATAGGAGGGAAAAAAGCAGTGATCCAGTTTTCTTTAAAATATTAATAATATTTGAAAATGTGTGATGTAACCAAATCAAGTATTTGTAGAAAATGGTAAATAAGGATTAAACTATATTAGATACAAATACTGCATTTCTAAGAACCCACATAGCAAACCCACACTCTTGTCTAGAAATGTAGTGGGGGAGAAAAGCTCAAAAAGGGCAACATTAATCCACAACATTAAACACAGCTCTACCAAACAGTTACACAAACCAGAATTATTTAGGTTTATTAAATATACATGGCTTATTAGGTGAGTAGGCGGTGGGGGCGTGGCCACTACTCAGGCAACCGCAACCTGTCAATCATATACTGTGGCGGGAGCAGAAAACGAGTGTCAATGAGGACGCCTGTGGTTGCCTTACTTTTCCTATTACTGTTTGACATCCTGTGTGCGTTTGGACGAAACCCACAGTAAACTAGAGGGATCTCACAACAGCTCACAGAAGTTCATTGGCCGCAATATATGGCAGTGTAAGTTGACAAAATCGTCTTTAACACTTATTGAGTCGGGGTTTTTTCTCTCTCTCCAGTCACCTAACCAAAGAGACACCTGCCGCTGACGACGCAGGCTACTCTCTCCTTTTGTAATCTCGACCGTCCATCGACAGTTTGTCCTACCATTTTTCTTCTCTTGAGGAGGATTTTGTCTCAGAAAGGAATTATTCAGTAACTTGTTTCAGAAAATTCCAACAGACCTGCTCAGGATGCCTTGGATGAGCGTCTCTCTGCTATTTGTATTCATCTTGTTCTTTTTGCTGTATTTCCCCTCTTTCATCTTGCTATTGATTTGCATCACTATAAGTGATGGAAATGGTATGGAAATATTACTCATATTCAAACTGAGGGTCAGAGTATGTGGCATGAATGTCAGCGAGCATTGCACTCCAAACATGGCTTTAGCATTACTCAAAATCTTCTGGAGCAAGCTATGGGCCCAACAAGCACCAGCTGCAGCAGCAATTAAATGTGTAAGAGAGTTTGTGTGTGTGTGTTTGTGTGTAGAAAAGATGAGAAGAGAGCCTCATTAATACCCAGGTCCTCATTATCTTAACCACAGCATCTTCAAAGTGCACAGCAGTCACACGTTTCCCTGCGTGTCACATTCTGTTGATACTGTTATCTATTACCTTTAATTATCCTTTGTGTTTGAACGCAAGTTTCGGTTAGATGTCTACAGATGTCTGCTTATCTGCATTTACAGCAAGATAAAAAGTAGTCTGTATGGAATAATTCATTCATTTTGTTACATCGGTGATGATAATTATGTATGGTTCATGAAATATGAAGTGGAGAAGAGTGAAAGGTTTGTGCATGTATGTCAGGTATGAAAGAAAAATAGCAAAATATACTTTTGAGATATCTGGGTGTCAGTTCACCATTTAGTGCTTAATCCTGTTCTGTACACAGTTCAGTAATTTACAGGAGTGAAAACCGCATTCTACAACTGAATTAACTCTTGAGAAATGCAGGTAGCGACAGCCGCATTAACAAAAGTTCTATGCAATGGGGATGGAACTGAATTGAACAACTAGTTAATGGCATATTTAAATGCGTATCGGAGCTGTGTCTCGCTTCTTGTGACAAAATCACAGGGAAAGAGTGAGGTACGAGCCTTCACTCATTTGGGTTGCCAGGTCTTGCTAGAACAAGAACAAGCCTATAATAAACCTAAATAAATCCAAATGCTTTATTTTGGAAATAAGACCAAAACATTTACTTGTACCTGCCCACTTTAACAACTCCATGAACTGGATTGCTTTATGAGGCAAGGCCAAAGACACTTATACATGTACATTTAAAGATACACTTTATTTCAGACTCAAAGTTCCACATCAAAAGACATACAAGCCTATGCATGAAAAAACAGTTACTGAAAAGCGTAGTGGGCAAGTGGATGTGGCAAAATTGCAAGAACATGCTTTGTGAAGCAGATTTCTGAAAATAAATGAAACAAAGCACCTCTGTAGATGGTGATTTGGTTAAAATCGCTGAATGTAAGTATTTGGAAATTTCAGGAGTGAGTTGTGTTCCTTACACACATGGAACAATATTTTAGGGGATTCATTCCTGTTTTTAAATGCAGTTGTCACTCCTGAAACTTCACAGTGTGCGTGAACGCAGGAATATTATAATGGCTCTCGCGGCGGTTTCCCTCTACCTCCTCGCGCTCGCCTGGACGAACTTGCGCCCGGTTCACGGGAACAACCGTCACGCCGTTTACTGGAACAGCTCAAACATCCAGTAAGTGGGTTCATAAGTTTTCTACGGCGGTTATGGGGAGATTTAGCTCCCGTGCAACGGTAAACGCGTAAAGAATGAGGGAGAAAAGACCGGTGAATCTCGCGGATAACATGTCCGGGTCATATTTTATCAGAAAAAAAACTAGAAATTGTTTTTTATTTAAAGCTGTTTAAGCACAATTAAGATTTTGTGTAAAATTACATTATTTTAATGTCAATTAAGCACATTTTCGTCCCAGATTCTAACGTAATTTGTCTGTTCAAATCTATTCTTATTCAAAATGAAAATATATTTTGAATCAAACAAATGGTTCATTTGTTAATTTTGGGGTGATGCATAACCCGAACACGTTCTTGACAAGTTGCATGAGATTCACCTGAGTTTTGATTTAAGTGACAATTGTCTGGTCACGTGCTGCACATTTCGACCGCTGAGGAAGAAGTTGATGAAGTGGCTCCTGATTGTGACATGTTTGCTTCAGCCTCCAGATTGATTGATTTATTTTACTGTCACATGACTTGATTGTGTGCTGACAGGTGATAATTCACATTAACTGACAGCTGAGACTGGATAGCTAAATAATCTCTGAGGAAAATCAGTGTGCTTTTCTTCACTTTTTTTTATATCTCACCATAGATCTTTCCCCCCCTCCTCCTCTGCTGCCCTGTTCTCTTGTCTAGAAGTGCTTCTATAATGTAGAATGTCTACTTTTATTTCTGTCTTAAATTTATTTTCATTGAGTAAATAATCCAGCTATAACTCATAATGTTTGTGTTTACTAAATAGCTATTATTCGTAAAAAAAAAAAAAAAAAAAAAAAGTAATATTTATGAGAACTAGTGGTGTTTTTTTGCTGTTATTGTTGTGTATGAATGTTTCTAAGAGTTGTGCTTGTTCAGAACTCAGTGTCAGGGCGTTTGTACCTGCATGTCTCTGTTAGTACAGAGTCTATTTCTACTCCCACACTGGGAGAAGATCTGTAAAATAATGCGTAAACTGACCCAGATTGCAGGTAGCCGAGGAACTCTCTGAGGCCTTACGGCATGAATACTGATCCCAGATCAGTCCTGAGAGGCTTAAAGCTATGGGCCACACACTACTGAGAAGCGCATGCAGGCATGGTACAAACTGGAGCAACAATCTCCTAACCAACCGGTTCCCATGAGCCCCTCAAGGGCATGAGAGTGTTTATGGCCTAGTGGGTTGTCATAGTTCTAGGTGAGACCCTCCTTTCGCTCTATCCGGGAGCCTAACGCTTGGTCCAGCTGAGGTAGATGAGTTAGCGGTGGAGCGCTTTATGTGGGCTAACGTAACCGGGCTCATTCTCACGCCGCATCCCAATGCTCACATCGCCGAGACGGATAAAAGCACAGGCTGATAAAAGCGCTTTCATGGATGCTGCAAGAAAACCTTGCTCACGGAGTCTGTTTGAAATTTCACTATAAAGTCAAGTGAATAGAGGATCATCAATCATGTGAGATGATGTGTCTGAGGAAAATGCCAAATCTGAAAAGCCAGAAAGAACACGACTCCCAACAGAAATTCGTATGGAGTGCTTGAGATATGTATAAACCACCAAAACAAACACGTATGGGGTGTTGATTCGGATGGCGAGGATGAGTCAGTAGCACACGGCTGGGCTTTGATTGCATCTGCACAGCCCCATTAGGAGGCAACGCTCTCAGCTTCTGCTGGCACTGGCACTGCAACCCAAGCTCATTACAGCTGTCCCAGCTAATGGAACACACACTCACACACAAAGTCATTTAGTTGCGTTCTGTCCAACACACACGCAAAGTCCCTCGCAAACAAGTATGCATACTAATGTACTTTATGCAGATCAACTGACTTGTAAGCAGAATGAGAAGAACATTCATGCACACATGTGACAGGAAAAATCCAACCTTTTTACACATATACACACACACACATCATTGTTGCTCCCAGATTCTCTGCTAATTAGCGAAGTTTGATGTGGAATATGTGTAGCTGAGCAAGGTGGCCGTAGGGTACATTTCCTGTGGCGCCGTGGCCTCTTACACCCCGCACCAGGTTGGTGTCACGGCCCAGTATCAGAGCAGGGCCCTTTAATTGGTCAGCCTCTGTCAACATGATGATAACAAAAGAGAGCCCTGCTCTCAGAGCTCTATGGCCACAGTGAAGGGCTTATGTAAGGGGAGATTTACCTTAGAAGAAAGACCAAATGAAATGTAAATGTACTGTGAAAGAATGAACATGCAGTCTAAAACACATTGCAACCTTTAAGAGCTTGGTCAAATTAACTTGAAACTTGCTTGTAGTGAATTCATACTCGCCTGTGGTGTGTCGCTAAATTCAATTTTTGTTCCTGTAGTTGTTTACCCCTGAAGTAGCTGTGAGACTTGATGACTTGATTGTTTCAGCCAAACCAGCTGTGGTCCTGATTTACTAATGGTCCAAAAAGCAAAGTAAGATTATTTTCTAACACAAAATCTGAAATGTAATCCATTTGCCCTGAAAATTTGAACACTTAAGTCACACTTAAAAATTAATGAATAACTTTTATATGTAGCACACTTTTTTTTTAAAGCAAAATAGTTAATGTTAAAATTAATGAAAGACTAAAATATTTAGTTACTTTCTGGTTGTCAAAACTTGTTTATAGTGATAAACTACACCCGTGTGACCTTGAGAAACTTCACACAATATAAATCACCTTGACATCAGTTGCTTTAAGGGGGCTAAGAATCAACAGGTTTGAATATATCATCATTTTGAATATATTTGTAGATGGACTTGTTTGCAGATGCCACTTGGTTTGATATTTCTAATTCAGAGATATTCAATGATGCATTTTTAGGTATGACCAAAGTGTCACTGTGGCTTATATATTATTGCCAGATTTAAACCCTAAAATACTATACTTAAAGGGATACTCCACCCCAAAATGAACAGTACAGTATCCACACCGGTGCGGTGACTAACAGCCACACATTCTCCTCAAAACAAATGCTGAGTAGCCGTGCCGACGCACAACCCACGTAAAGATGATAATTACGAAATAACTGCAATTGCAGGTTTCAAACAGAGATGGCGACAGAGGCAAAACTTACGGACTGCAGCTTTAAAGGGATACTTCACCCCAAAATGAAAATTTTGTAATTAATCACTTACCCCCATGTCGTTCCAAACCCGTAAAAGCTTCTTTCGTCTTCGGAACACAATTTAAGATATTTTGGATGAAAACCGGG